GATTAAAAGAGGATTAACAGATTCCGGCCTCAGTATTACTGAATCCCCATGAGTACGTCTTTATATTGATCTAGAATCCAATTATCTTCTATAAAATTATGCAGCACCAGTAAGGATGTAATTAACTGCAGGACAACAGCCTTTGTTAAAAAACAATGATTTATGTTATTTTTATGTCTTTTAAGTCATAATCTCTTCTTTTTCTTAACATTTTATTTCATTTGTGTTTTCCTTTCTGTGGTTATCTTGATTTACATTGGAAACACCACTGGACTGTCTCTAAAATATGTTATATGTCTGTTTTGATTTTTTTTTAATATCTAAACATGATCATTTTTTATCTCCTTAACTATAACAAGGTTTATTGTGCTTGGAATTCATTACCCTAATAACTGAAAAGTTTGGGAGCCAAAAAGAGAAAGTCACAGAACTACAGCTGATATTATGTGCTCTCTATTCCTCTGCTGTAGAGTACTTCATCCTCTCCCTGAATAATGAAAAAGAGCAGTTGGGAAATTATTTTTTGGTCTTTGGTAACAATAGCCAGCCCCAGGCTCTGAGAGTCCACCCTGCCTTTTATTTCTGCATAATTTAACTTTCAAAGCAAAACCACCCTAGCACTGGTACTAACTACCCTATTTCTGAAGGAATTCTTTCCAATAAGGAAGGAAGCAAGTAAGTTTATTTTGAGGATACAACTGTACTTCTATTTCAGAAACAAAGTGGTGGCTTCAGAAACAGTTACATAACTTTAAATAGTCTAAATTCAGCCTTTATCTTCCATAGCCATATTATTAAAGTATAATTCCAGTGGGTTCACCATACTTTTGTTTTCCCTAGCTGGCTCTCTACTTAACCAATGCCATTATATACCTATTAGAAGGGAGATTTGAATAAACTCTTTATTTGACTGAATTGCTGGATCTGTTCAATCCATCTACTCAAAAAATGCACCTTCTTACTTGGTAAGCAGTAATTCCATTGACTGTCGTTATAACTTCATTTTAAGAACATTTCAAGAACATTTCTCATCCTAAATGCCAAAAAAAGGGGGGGGTGGTGGGTTTTTTTAATAATGGAATAACAGTTTAATGGAACCAAATCTACTGTCTGTGCACCTTCAGTCTGGGTTGCTGCAAATTGTCCTGTCGAAGGGTGAAATAGTACTCCAATTGCTACGAAGCCTAATGCCCACCGACTTTGTAGTAGAGGTAACAATCACAGCAAACAACTCACAGGCCCCAGTGGAATATCGCTGAATAAATAACCTAGTGCAAGGCCTCTGGCTTGATATTCACAGCTCTTGAGCGGAATAAAAGTTCGAAAGACTGCCTCTCCCCGACAGCTATTTTTGACTTGGGTAATGAACATGCCTTACCCCCTGGGAAAAACTGGACAACATTCAAATTACCTAGAATGTACTGTTCAATTAAAAAAAAAAGCATAAACCCAGAGTTTAAATCAGTATTTTAACACTTTCAAAAAGGAATGCATCACTTCAAGCGAATTACACCACAGAATAATTAGGTTATTTCTTCCACAGATGGGTACCACCACCGTTATCTGTAGAGACATGAAGTTAAGTGCATTTCAGTATTAGTCTTCAGATTCCGGAAACCCCTGATTTTTAAAGTGGGAAGCTTGCCAGAACTAGCAGGCTTAAAATAAAGACATTTTCTGTTGATGAGGAACGCAACCAGAATCAGTAATGATTCTTGTGTTGCAAGCTGATTTAATATTTACTTCACAACTAAGTATTACTACAGTATAAACACATTTGACTTAAGAAAGTTAAAATCCATGTTTGAAAAACTGTTCTCAATAGCTCCGAGCTATGTAAACTTCATTTTGCTGTTTTCCATTATTTGTATTTTGCTTTCTAGATCTTCAAATGAAAAAACAAAAGCCTCAAGAATCACCCATTACAAGAATGGATATTGGCCTGGCTTTGCTACACCAGTCTGTGGTTAGCAAATTGCCCCCTGCTGCTACATCACTCCCCCAGCCCTTTTCCCAGCATACATATAAACCCGATGTATAAAAGCCCAATGCACAGTATAAGCCTACATGTCATTTGCCTCTATACCAATTTGAAACCAAGATTATAGACCACTTAAAATTATGTAGTCATCATTTTTTTTTTATCCCAACATTTCAATTCAATAAACCATTGATAGGAGATTATGAATGGACAACCATTAAAGCACTTAAAAAAGCAACCAGTATTAATGATTTAGTCCTCTGAAATACTGATTCTTGACTGGAGATTGCTTTCAGCAGTCCTTATTATAATTACTGCACATCATTGAACAGCTTTTCCATGCAAACTCCATGAAATCATGTAGAAAAGTAAAGTTTTGCTTCAGCCTAAACTTTTTCCACAAAATCACTGGTCTTTCGTAGAATACAGTTCCCATAAAATAGTGTATTGTGAGAGGAGTGTTGAATAGTTAGCATATGCAATAAGGTAGCAAAACAGGAAGGTGTTTTACATCTTTATTTTAGATTTTTACTATTCCTCAAAAAAAAAAGAAAAAAATCAAACACCAAACCCAAAGATTTTAGGTTTTTAGTTCTGAAAAGTCATTTTGTTTGATTACATAAAGGTCTCTCATAGGTGACTGAGAGAAATAAAATACAATCACCAATGAAAGCAGAGTAGACCAGTTGGAATACATAAAAATAAATATCTGTAAAAAAAAAAAATTAAGGTATGTAAGATAGCAGTTATTTGCTGTGGAAAAGTCTGAATAATTTTAAAAGGGGAACTGCTACAGGTCTTTCAACTGTTTAATTTTTTTCATGGAGGTCCATGACCATGTGAGAACACAGTGACTTTTGGAAAAACTACAGTTTCAGCCCCCAGAGCATGATGAGACCTAGGTAACAGCACGACCAGCTTCTGCAGTGCTTTTTTGGTTTTGGTTCTTTAATACAGCTTCACAGTACTGTTATATAGGACCCATCTCTAAGAATGGAAAGGGTAATGCAGTCTCCAGCAGCCATCCAAACCTTCATTTCTTACCCGAGACTACCAAATAAAGAGTCTGTTATATTGGTTACTCCACAACAAATGAACAGAGATCACCAGCTCATTTCTTAAAGACCAGGGAAGAATTGCTCTAGTTTAAAATAAGAAGGAAAGTAGTGAATGTAAAGTTTAGCCCAAGAACCCAAAGACAGAAGAGATTCTCCTTTCAGGAGTTCTTGTTATGACTCATTTGAAAGAAATCTCCTGTCTTATCTGCCTTCTGGTGCACATGTCAATGCCATGGATTTCACATGTGACCCATCAGCATCTCAAGACAGCATATGCCCTCTGATATCTAGGTCATTAACAAACACGACGTTTGTCAACTTTGTCTCACAGTAATTGCTAGTTCATATCTATCAATCAGTTTGTTATTAGAAGATAATTTCAATCAGAATTCTTAATCCAAGACTGAAAGGACTGTTTTTAAATAATGAAGAAAATCAAAGCTTAAAACCAGTTTGTGTAACTAGGTCTAGAATTTATTACTCCTGAGAGAACAAAGATACAAAATACATGTGAAAGCTACACAAAGATTTCTACAAAGTAAAAAGTAGAAAGTGGGAAAAGGGAAAGCTACAGTTCAGTGGTTACACAGAAAAGTATGTCATGCATTAAAATACTGCAAATTCATGAAGTTTTTTTTAAGTGCAAATGGTTTTTTTAACAGTTCTCACTGAAAAATATGCAAATTGATACCTATGTTGTACACTTGTCATTATTAGAAAGATACCAACACAAATCTATGCATATACACATCAACATGTCTGAAATACATTTTGTGGTTTTGTTATTCATAGGCACTGGTTACAAGTCTGTTCAATACTCAGCCTCAGAAATTAAGTGGTAGCGTTTATAGAACATTTCTCAAATACTACTAATAATTTGCATTGCCATTTATAAGCATCCAACAAGCAAAGAAGTATTTACAAATCATCAACCATACAGATAAAGAACAGTATCAAATACTCTGTGTAAAAAGATAAATAATTAAAATGTATATTCCCACATCACAAAGAAATGTGATCATACAAATTATGGCACCATATGTTTGTGAAACATCAAAAATAAATGTATAGCACATAGATACCTCTTCTTATATTTTACATTAAAATGTACAGTTCAATGACTGTAAAATGTCAATGTCACAACACCCATTGTCTTCAAACTCTTGTTTCTGGTAACAGCAATTATTATTAGAGTCCGTGTTTATAAAGAAATTCCACACTTCAGCCTTGGGCTAATATTGCTCTGTGATATTGCTAGACCATGAAGCTTACATCCTAAAAAAAGTTACATATTTTCTTTAAAATTATCTAATAGAACGAGCTATTTCACATCTGAATATTCTGGGAGAAAGTGTGATCGAAGCAATCTACTTCTCTGTGTAGAAAAGGATGGGTTAAAAAAAAGCCTGTAACATTTTTATTTTTAATCACAAATACCTAATGTATTAGAGAACTATTTTTTAAATTAAGGTTTATCCGTTTCAAATTTTAATCCTAAACAGTACTGCAATTTTCAACACATAATTAGGGTTCCTGCTAAAGCACTTAAACTTCCAAACCCCAATCATGTATCTCATTATGACCAATGGATCAGAAAATCTGGAACGCAGTAGTGCTATGGAGCTCAAAACACTGATCTCCTGTTTTGTGCTCCAAGGGTAAAGAATGAGATAATTATAGCATATGGATATATTTGAAAGGTTTGTCTGCATGTGTCCATTTTTGGCCATATGCCAAATCCAAACAAAAGTACTTTGTTAAAGGCAACCAGAAATATTACAGTTAGCACAGACTAAGGCAATGAAAATACTTTTCTTTTTTTTTCTTTTTTTCTTTTTGTAAAAAAATTAAGGTGCAGAGAGAATTTTCTTTCTTGTTTTAATGGGTGCCAAATACTGATTAAGAGTGTCAAGGAAAAGTAGTTTTACAGAAAAGGAAAGACTATTAAAATCTAGAAATACCTGAATTGGATCTTTGATATCCAGATTTTTCCTGATTACCTGCAAAAGGAGTTGGGGGTGGGTAGTTGGCTTCTGTGAGTTTACTGATGTCTGATGGTGGTGTTGGTGGTGGCGGTGGTAGCAAAGTGCTGTTAGGGCTACTAATATCTCCTTCAGCCACAAGAGTCAAGTCTGCCACATTCTCATCATCTACCATCTGTATGCCTTCAGCTTGTAATTCTCTTGACTGCCTTTTCCATATTGCTGCATTGTTTTCCTGTGCATGCGGAATTGGAGACAATGCAGTATTAAAAGGAACACTGAAAGTCTTCTGACTGTGGAGTGCTGTCAAAGCAGATTTATGTTTATTTTCTGAGTAACTCATTTTCTTAACTGAATTTTCATTAAAGTTTTGTACAGACTCCTGTTTTCCACCTGGTGATGTACACCCATCCTTGCCATCATTTTTTGAAACTCGCCTGTTGAGGCCTTTAGGGCCTATGGGAGTAGATGAGGATGGTTCTGGTCCAGTGGGCGGTAAACGAAGGAAGTCAGGAAGAATAAGATCTTCTTTCCTTAGCAGTCCACGTTGGTCATCTGCTCTGTTACTTTGAGCTTTGGATATGAGTTCAAAAAATTCTATTGGGGAAAAACCCAAAATTGACAAGTTTTTGTCAGAAAGTGCAATGTCATTAAAACACAAATTTTCAGCACATTTATTTTCCATGAAGATCTTCAATTCTTTCAATGCTGCCTTGAAATAAGATCCCATGTTAATTAGGAACTTTTTCAATTGCAGCAATGTTCACTAGCATCACTATAATTAAGACCATCAGGATTGCTATTGTAAGAGGTTTGCAGTTTAAAACAGCTGCAATTCACTGAGCCTTGAACACATCTTCTATTTTACTCAGTTAATAAATCTGAACACACACACACACACACACAGGATTTTTTAATTCTTAATACAAAAGGCAGCTCTGGTCTCACTGACAATGGGTGCACATTTTTATATTCTGGATGGTTTTTATCCATCTTAACTCAAAAATAGCCATGCCATTTGAAAGTTCAATGATTCAGAATGTTGCAAACTTCCTAGTTATATTGACTTTCTCTCAGTTGAATAGTTTTTATCACAGTTTAAATTCAGTTCATGGTGTAGATTTAATCCAGGATGTTATCATCACAGGACATGATCAAATGATGATTTAAGTAACCCCATTTTATTTTGTGCTGCAATGAATCAGTAGCGTACAGGTAGTCAATAACCATTAAAGGAGCCATTACTAAAAGCAATGGGGCAGCTTTTTAATAGAATTTTTAACACAATTACAAGTGATTTTCTGATCATGTCCTTAATGATGTCCCATGGTTTAATATGTTTCTATATATATAAATAATACTTATAGTAAATCACCACTGTTCTAGAAAGTCTCAAAACTTGGCAACAAGAAACTTATCAATCATAAGCCAAGAATTATACCACTCCTCAAAAAAGAAGCATCACCACAATTAACAAATTCTTTGCTGCAAAACATACAAATATAAAAATATGTAATTCTTAATATAGGGTCTCTGCATGTCCTAATTTTTCAAGAAGAAAGCATTGAAACTACAGAATATTAAATATGCTTAAAAAGGCCAACAGATGCATTAAAATCAATAGCTTCAACCTAGCTTATAAATACTGTTTGAAGCCAAAGCCATTACAAAATAAAGCACAGACTATTAGTATCAGTTTTAACTTAGCACAATATGAAGTCATACACTTGCACTTGTATGACCTTATTCCTATCCTCTACTCATATTTGGCAGGCTTTGCAATGTATTCATAAAAATGACGTTTTAACATGCTTTGTCAAATGCCTTAAAACCTGAACGTAGCCAAGATGGAAGCTTCAAAATGCTTCTTATTGCCAAAGTTTTGCTAAAATGGCAGTATGCATATTAAAACATGCAACATTTCTAATATGTCATACAAAAATGTTCCTTTCTGAAATAGCAAACTTCATAGAACAGTTGCTTTGGTTTTTTTTGGTTTTGGGTTTTGTTTTTCTTTTTTTTGTTAAGTTTTCCATTAAAATACGCTCTACAACATTTGATACGCATTTCCCAAACTTGGACAAATGTCACAAAATTCAAAATAAAATGTGAAAGCCTCGAATTCTGAAGTTTTCAAATTATGTTAGTTTTACTCAGCCCTAGGAAGAAAAATGAAAATATTAAAATATTGAAAACAATCAACAAAATAATAAGCAACAGAAAATAATTTAAAATGCACTAAGATTTTGTAATAACATTTATATTAACAAACATCTATTCTGCAATAAAAGTTTCAGCCCCAACTTTTTGTTTTAATTCTAGTCAGTGGACATTTATTCACTGATGAACATTCATTCACTGTATAACTGTGCATAACCATGCTCTGGATATGCATATTAGGTAACATCAACAGTAAATTTTAATCTACATGTCTTGCAAAGGGTATAAATGGGATATTCAACTGCAACTGAGTAATTCATATTGATTTTATGTGAATAAGATAACTTTCACTTTGGAAAATCCCACTAGGCACCTACATCTACCTTTAGGTATTCTTAAAATCTTACCTGCAGTTTCAAAAACTTCACAATTCAAACACAATACCAAACAAAAACGTAAGGATCACGACTATGATTTTCACAATACAGTATTAAACACATAATACATTTTCCTACACAGACACAAAATTCTAATTTTTCTAAGACTATTTATGTTAATACTATAAAGTTCACATACCCTCTGCTTCATCCAAATTTATTTTCTGACATTTTTTTTTCCCAATCTTTGCAATAGAGTCTTCTCTCTTTGACAGCCGGACTTCCCTAGCATTTTTTCCATTTTCGCCTTTCATTTTGATAGAATTAGACTTTCCTAGACTTCTTCCCTCTCCCTGCATTAGAAGGAAAGTTAAGGTACTACTTACATTTAGACTATATCATTGTGTACATAATATGCTCTAAGTGAATAAAAAGATTAGTTTGAAAATACATTTCTCTTTCACCACAACAAATCTTTTAATTTAATCTTGATTATTGTAAAGAACTTTGCCACAGTAGTACCCCAAAATTTATAAATAAACATAATATCATTTACTCTGAAGAATTCACGTAACAGGGCCTTTAATTTCCAAGTAATCAATAATTTTCAAATATAGATAAGCCAACAAGACACAAAACAACAAACACAACACAGTGAAAGAACTACTTGATTTATCATGAAGACAAAGTTCTCACAAATAAATGCTGTTGACAGTGGGGAAAATATCAAATGAATTACAGCTATACTCAATCCAGTTACATAACTTGGCTGATTCAGAATCATGGATGAATGCAGCTTTGAGTATAGAATTCCAGAAGGAAGCAAAAGATGATCTAAGGGACAAAAATCATTGCAGAAGACTTACAGTAAATACTTGATTCCTTGAAGTAGTTACAGTTGCAGTCTGTTTTACTGATGCACCTTTTTGTTTATCTGTAAACACTGAACATAAACATACCTTCTGTAACTACAAATTTATAACTTCCCAATGAAGTAATATTTAAGTGACAATGATGCACAAAACATTTTTTTTTTTGTTTTAAAGTTTCTCAGACATGTACTCAGAAAATAAAGAGTGAGCAGAGTTGATATCTATGTTTTCCAGCCAAAAACTAACAGAATATTGCTTTCATCTTCAAGGTTTCGTAATACTGGCAATACTTTTAAATTTGAAGATGCTGACATTTCATTAAACTTCTTCTAAATGTTCAGTTGATTTAGATCAAATAGTTTTTAAAATCTTAGCTAATAATTCAGTTTGCAATTCTCAAATTTACAATTTAAACAAACAAAAAATAAGCAGAAAAGACCTTGGAAAGGTCATGTTGAATCTTTTCCAACCTGTTTCATGCATCAATTGTTTTCCAGACATTGCCATATCCTCCTCATCTACTTCTAAGTAACTAAAAGGCTCCTTCAAATTACATCTGCCTACAACAAAAATACTGTTGCAGACTGAGCTGCACAGAATCATGGCCCTTTTTCACTGGTATATGCCAAAGAATCAGCCTACTACTGGAATGATCCTCTATGATTTAGGCTTTTCTAGCAGTTGGCAGGACATAAGATGGTAGTTTTAGTTGTAAACCTTAAACTAAATATCTGAGTGTTTAGATTGATATCTTTCATCAAAATGACAATTGATTGTTTCCGAGAAAAATGACAAATCTGATTCTCTTCAATAAATACCTCCATCTTTATTCTATTTATTTCTCAAAGAGAATTTCTGCTCTAAGTCAATTTAATTTAACCACGTTGCATTTCATTTTTAAAACTAAGCATTCTATGTCCATAAAAAGGTCTCCTAATGAAAGTAAACTTTTACTCTGAAGGTTTCTTACATTAATCTAGCCAAAAGATCGTTAGCTGTTACATTGATCAAATTCTATTTTTCAGAGTATTTTGTCCAGGGAAATCACAAATTATATCCTTTTTAATATTATCTCCAGAAATCACTACTTAAAACTGGAGATGCAGACTCTGCTACTTTCTCATATTAAAGAGCTTTGTCACAGCAGTACATGCAGCTGCTGCAAAAACTGCATGTTTTACTTATACAGAATGTTTCTTATGAATAAATTGCCAAATTCACAGAAGTTATTTGGCATTTTGTTCTCATTATTATTACTAGGTTCCTGTCCCTAAATGTGTGTGTATATCTACGGCTGAGTGCCAAAAAAACATTCAAGTATTCCTAGTGCTAAATTTCATATAGCAAGAGCCAAGAACTCGCTATCAACAGATCAATATAATCTTCAATTCTTAGAAACTGCACTCCATTTTAGTTAAAAAGAATGTATGTTAGATGTGACATATCTAAATTTAATCACATTTACCTCACCTGTGCATCAACAGAAGAAACTAACCAAAGTCAGGGTTTACGAAAGTCACTTGACATGATAAATAAAAGCTTTTACACCAACTTACCTCTACCCTTCGATGGCTCTTTTTCATCTAGAACAACTCGTTGACCATCCAGATTAGATATAGGGACACCAAGATCAAGTGGTTCCTGCTCACCATTCTAAAGTCGGATCACAGTTTGTATACAATAGAGAAAAAGCTGTTTTCAGAGCAAATTTATGCAGTCCAACATTTTTTGAAGGACAAATGAGCATTTTTAGGTTTCAGTGTTACCTCAATAAACTTTTTTCTACCACTCCAAAAATGCTTATTCTGTTTGTGTAAAACTGCCCTGATTACAATGAGTATAACCCATTTACATGAGGAAAATGGTATTTGGGTAAAAGAAGATACAAGTAGAAGAAAACATCCAATTTGCAAGCTGGCACAAATATTCTAGGACCACCAGTATATTTAGGAAACCATATTTTTCAGAGGAAGTTTGAGATTATTTTGTATTCTAAGTTACTTGTAATTTGTTAATTTGTAATTTTATTAAACAAAGCTAGCTTTATACCAACGTGGTTTTCAGCTGTTTTAAAAACATAGACCGGTTCAGCCAAGACAGTATGCAGCCTAGAAATACCACAAAAGTAACTTTCCGTTCCTTGATTTTCCAAAATAACAGAATAAAGAAAATGCCGGTTGTATTTAGTAGTAGAGAAGTTGAATCAGTTGACTTCTGCAAAAATTTTCTGCAAGGGAATTTGAAGCAACTATCATGATTCCCAGGATAATGGAACAACAGCTTTAACTAATCTTCATCAACTAACTTTCCCTGGTTAATAATGAGAAAAGTTGATCTCTACAATAACCTAAGTTCAGGCTTTTTTATTTAGGATGTTGGATTTATTCTGAAGGAGAATATGAAACAGATGCAGACTGAAGCTTTGAGGTAATTACTATTAAGCATAATGGTTATGACTACTATGCATTTTCATCTCAACATGTAGTTATAAATACAGATTTTAATACCTAATTATAAGGATAGGAATAATTTCAGGGACTACTTTATGATCTTCTCCAGACAAAAGATATTGCAGTTTGAATTACATCAAAAGATACTTACTAGTCTTGCCACAAGTTCATTAAGATTTAAACCATATTTTGCAACCACAGGCCTTAAGACCTCTGTCACTGGTTTAGTGGGTTTAGCCTTCAAACCAACTGATCGATTGATAGGAACAAGATCCAGGCTGAAACACATTAATTGTAATATTAAATACAAAATATTCCAATAAATAAGATGTACAGAATATATAAAATCTAATCAACAGCAAAGTTATACTAGTTTACAGGTAGTGACCCAGAACCTTCATTAGCACAAATCTATCCTAACCTGAAGGTATAAAGCACTTCTAACACAAATAAAGCTTCCACCGTTTCACTCCCCAGAGCTGAGTGAAGGCATGAGCCAACCTAATTGCATGGTGATCCTCAGACCAGTTAGATACATTCCATAGCACTTTCATCTTTACAATGAGATTGCTCTGACCATTCTGGTCCAGAAGTGCTTCCAAGGTGACCCCATGACTGTACTATACCTCAGATGCAAGAAAGATAATTCTTCCCACTTTCAGAAGAGACTCACAATGCCCTATTCAATTTCTTGAGGTGGGACAGAAATTTTTAGTTTTACTTTAAGCACAGGAACAAAGAAAAGGGAATTCCAGATAATGCTAATTTCTAGCTAGATGACACTATAACACAAAAATTACTGTAAGAGAAGCTTTTATGTAAAAGCTGTAAAAGCATTCAGTTGGAATTTATCAGATAAAGACTCTTCAAAGTCTATTATGCAATTTTATATCATCAACATAGAAAAAAATAAAAAAACAAAAAAAAATTCTAAACCCAAACAACTATTCCATTTGTAATTATTTCCCTGCACAGAGCCATGCCTAGCTTTGGGTTTGTTTTTCCTTAAATGCTTCTCATCTGTGTCCTGATTCCTCCATAACAGGCACATTTTGACTATAACAGCACTACAGCATGAAAACAAGGGAAGGCTTATTACTAACAAAAATCTATCAGAAAAAAAAAAGTACCTCATCAGGAGAAATGAAAATTATTAGTGATTTTGTCCAGTTATATGTAAATCCCATCATTTCTTTCACACAAATTACTTAAATAGGAGATATTTAGTCTTATTGACTTTTCCCTTCAACAAGGGACCTGAATAACCGAAACTCTGTCTTTCATATTTTCTTTAAATACAACAGCTACTAAATAGAAATGATCAATTTTAATCATGAACTGGTACTGACACAGAAGTGGCAGACATTCAGGTAACCAAGTATACCCACATAATACTTCCATGTCTGAAAATATTCCAAATATTTGAGTATTTTTGCTTACATAGTGTCTACCCACAGAAGGAAATAATGTAGAACATTTCTACATTTTAATTAACACACAAGTAACATATGGTGCTGCCTACTTACTGTTCCTTTTTAATTTGGAAACTCAACAAAGTCACACCTAATAAAAGACTGCTCAACCTCCATTTCAAAATTGAATATGTTATGCCATAAGTACCCATACACGGAAATAGCCTGCTTCCTAAAGAAAAGTTATATAAAGGCAAAATGAAGAATGCCTGACAAAATACATCTTATTAACTTCAAAAGCGCAACTCAGTAATGTAACACAAACATTCTACTTCATTACCTTTTCCTTAAATAATTATTTCAGGAGTTTTCATAGGACTAATTTGGGTTTTTTAGAATTTAAACTTTTGGAAAAAATAGATTATTTGGAAAAACTGAATACTATAAAATATTACATAATATTACATATATAATATACTGACTTATAGTATACCCATGTCAATAACAACATTATAACATTGACTTAACATTCAGGGTTATAAATCTATACTCGGATGAAATTTTATACAATTAGTCTCATCGTAATTTGCCAGTCAGATACATCATTATGGATGTAACTGAATGGGAATATGTAATCAATCAATGTATCCATTTCATACAAAAGGCCTATCTTTATTATTGTTGCATTTAAGATTAGACTAGGACACTTGCAGTACAATTTCCATTTCATTCTTGTGCTGCTTCAAACTACTACATGTCTCTTCCTAAAGTGGAAGGTCCCTCTGGGCCCGCAGATCTGTCCTACATGCTTGTTCACAACTGCTTCAGCTTAAGACATTGTAATAATAATTTAAATACCCCTAAACTGGAACATTGGCATCAAAATCCCACTTGTATCTAAGACGGCAATCCAGAAAGCTTCTGCTTGCTGCATTTTAAAACTCACCATATGCTGCTCTACTCAGTTTGAAATGTTCCTGTAAGACCACATTTCTCCCATTGATCCTTACCCCAGTTACCCTCATCTGAACTACCTTTTAGAGGTACCCTAATCTCGCCATTACCTGTAGAGGAAGCATTTAGCAGATGGCTCTAAAACTAAACAAAATCTAAGGGATGTCAGTGTCTAAATGTAGGCAGGATACCTAACTTAGGCACTTGTGTAACTCAGAGAATCCTCATGCTAAATGCACCTCTCTTACATGCATGCTATTGCAATCTAAAGTAAAAATGGGCTTTAACGGAAACTCAGACTGAGAGATAACCGCAAAACACGGAAGTTAATCATTCCAAATGTTAGGTCACCTTCCTTCTCCACATGGGACTCTCTGCTTGATATTAAGGCCTATTTCTTCTAATGTCCCTGTACAATGAAAAGGAACCTTAGATCCCGTAATGCTGGATACTGGATTACAATATAAAATGTTGGATTACATGGCTAATTGGATTTTTTACTGGATTCAGACAACTACTTTTCTGAATTAATTACTGTTTTGCTGCGCAGGCAACTGACAATATACTTCAGTGCACTTGAAAAAAGTGAAGGGGAATAGAAAATGCCAGAGGAAGACAGTAATTTTGACTTTTACCGAAATAAAGTGCGTTTTTCTAAACGTAGGTCCCGAGACTCCAGGATGCTACTGTCTTGGTGCAATACAAGTGGCTACAAAGCACGTCAGGAACAAAAGGAAGGAGAGCAAATTACTGTTAAAATATGTTAAAAAAAGAACAGCTAAATGGTTAAATATTTATTTCAAACAACTCTGAAAGTTATTAACATAGGCTGCATGCATTCTAGTGGATATTCATTTACAATATGCAACATGATTAAAGTGTATTTTATTTTGGCTAGTTGTGAGACGATGACCAAACGTCAATTTCCACTGGAGTCAGCAGGTATTCAGGAACTCAGTGTTTTAAAACAAGCCTAGGTCCTTCAACTTAAATAAATTATTGCATAGGACGATTCATTACAAAATATGGCAAGTTAACTATCTTTTAAAACAACAGGCACATAACTATGCACATTCATTGATTTATGTGATTGCAATAATCCAGATTGGCCATAAGCACAAATTTAAGATCATAAATGTTTCACATCCACAGCTTCTCTTTTAATTGGAGATACTTCTGCTGGAATAAGAGCTATCACATACCACCTCCCCCAACACAGACTGTTGTCTTGGAAATTTTCCTTAATATTAAAAGACACACCTTAATTCTAGCTTGAATTCCTCTTATTCGCCTTTGAACTACTGAATGCCATTATGTATCTTTGTTTTAATAAAGTTTCATCTACTACAACACATTTGTTTTCTTTGTGGATACTTTCAAGTAAGTACAAGCTAACCATTCCCCTGGACAAACCACATGGGCTAGATACCTAAATTAACTTCTTATAAGTAAATCTTTGTCATCAGCTCTCTTCTGCTTTCTGTAATATAGATACCACAACCAATCACAGTACCCTACCAGTCTTAGTTTCACTAAAATCCTCCTCCAATTAGCTAGCTTTGCCAGTATAATAGGTAGAATCAGGAGATATGTATTACTATTAAGATAACAGAATTTCTTCTTCATAAAATAAGTATGGAAACAATTTTAAAAAACTACAGGAATATGTAATACCTTATCACCTCCAACTAAAAAGAGGTCCACTGCAGCTATGTTAATGCCATGTTTCTCGCAGACCCCAGAGAGCATCTCTTTGATAGAGAATCCGGATTTAACAGCCATTTTGCTAGATGAACCATCCGGAAGGTTTACACAGCAGTATTTGGGGGATTTCTCTTTATCTGGTACAAATGCAGGTACTCTTGAGGGTTCAGACTTGATAGGAAAAAAGAAAAAAAAAGTCAGTGCCCAATGGGAAAATCAGGTATATGCATAAACCTTTAGAGTCTGTACAAATCAAACCAAACCAAGAAGCATACTTTCTACCATGTATATAGTTTAGAAATCCTTCTAAATATCTCAAATATCAGATAAATTTAAATCCTGAGGGAAAAAAATGTTTAAGTAAAGATAACAGCACTGCACAAGTCTAAATTTATTTCAAGAGATGAAGTTTTAGACAGTGTGTAAAACAGGTTACAAGACTTTCAAAATATAGAACAAGAAAAAGTATAAGAAGTAAATAAAATCTTATTTAGCTTCCAATAGTGAAGTGTCTATACTTAATAATGACCTTCTAATGTACAAATTACTAGTGGCACATTGTGAATCAACATTTAAGGAGATGAGGAACACCTTTAAACATCAGGCTCCCCAAACAAATTTCCTCTTCTTTTAACATAATCTGAATGCTACACATACAAATATGCCACAGAGAAATTAACATCTTAAAACAATTCACTCAATGACCATGCGCTTTTTTATTAAAGGGAACAAGAAGAACAATATTAAGGGTTAAGGCTAAAGAGCAGAGCATTAATCTTTACTCTAGAGTAACACTGGAATACTAACACTACTACAAAATATCAAAAGTATCTTTGAAGTGAATTTTCTGTTCTATTTTATAACTTTAAAGGACACTACAGGTCAGATATAAGGAAGAAATTCTTTACTATAAGGGTGGTGCGGTCCTGGCACATGTTGCCCAGAGAAGTTGTGGCTGCCCCATCCCTGGCAGTGTTCAAGGTCAGGCTGTACAGGGCTGGAAGCAACCTGGTCTAGTGGAAGGTGTCCCTGCCCATGGCATGAGGTTGGAACTGGCTGAGCTTTAAGCTCCCTTCCAACCCAAACCATTCTATGATCCTGTGATTGTTGCTTTAGGGAGGCTTTGCATTTTCTGTTTTTTAGGATAAGACTTTTCTGCAACAGAAATAAACATGACTTTGCTGTGCCTGCTTTCCTCATCAGTATTTGTAGCATAGGCAAAATTACATAGTTGCTAAAATGCTAGGCTACTGGAGGGATATCAAGACTACAAAAAACTTCTGAAAATTTCCATTTTATAGTCTTTCTCCATATCAACACAGATAAATCTAAAATATTGCACTTACGTTTTACTTTTAATACTGTTTTAATTTTGCATTTCATTAGTTTTACACTGTGAAGTTAGAACTTGATGGTTAGAAATCATGTTAGATTGGTTAGAAATTGTTAGTGTCTTCACTGATTATTTTCCTATGTACTACGACAAAATAAGTGTTTGCAGTGAAATCCCCTACCTCTCTTTTCTCAAATTTTAGGAGCAGAGTTAAGTCATAATGACAAAAATTAAAATTCACAACTTTAAAAAAAAGAGAGCAAAGCAGCACATGTGCTAGTACCACAGAAATGAGCCTAACACTACTTGCATACAGGCAAAGCAGAGGGAAAGCTTCAACATATCATTGTTCAGAACAGAATCTCAAAGCTCTGGTAGGTGGAAAAAGCTGTTTATAAAGAGCTACAGTAGCCCCCTTTGAAAAGCAAACTTTTATTCTGGAATTCTACTGGTGCCCAAAGTTAAGACAAACAAGGTGCAATGGATAACTTTCTGTTACAAGCATACAATAAGACGCGGTATATGAACACAACCTCTGTTACATTTCTAGCATTCTAAAATTGCTTAATATTAAACATTTCCCTCCCCCTGCATCACTTAAAAGCCCTTTCTCAAAGTATTACTACAAAGAAATTACTTCTCACTACTTAAGGAATAAGTAATTCACTGTTTTCACTGCTTCCCCACTTCTTATTAAGAGCTGGCCATTACCAAGTCAAGACTAGCAGTTGATGACATGGAGCCTTGTGATTCCCGTCTGTATGATAATCCATTGGACTGAAGAGAATCTGTGGAAAGAATCAGCAATCGGTAAAAAGGCTTGGTTTGATTATTTATTATAATACAGAAAGCTATTTTGAATACACTCCTCTGGTCAGAAAAACAATGTTTTTCATTAAAGGAAATATTACCAAATCTTCATACTGTGCAATAAAGCAAATGCCTCTGATGTGTTTTCACATGTGTGTATAATGAGAACACTTAAACTATCCACATGATCAAAGATATCCTGTGGGTCTGGGCCTGTACTAGAAAATAGAGAAGAAGAAACCACAATAACAATATGATCCACATTTAGTTCTTCAGTGGAATTTCTGTATTATTTTTAACTCAATGGAATGAGTTAATGTAAAACTTTCATTTCTTCCTTTAGAGGCCATGTACAGGTGCTTTCATAGAGGAACTCTTCCTTAAACACTCACGAATAGTTAAGTAACAAAACAGCAGATTACAAGGGTTTTCCCAACTCTGACTCCTTTATTATTTTAATCAGGAAAGGTGGTAACAGGTAGCGAGTGTGTTCAAAAGTGAACATACCTGTGTGGTACTAACAAAAGAAAGAAACAGATAGTAAAGAAGATGAAGGAATTTTCAAATAGCTGTAACTGGGGTACTATTTGCATGTACTGAAATTCTCTGTAAAGAGTTGAAATTATCTTACTATGAAAACAGTAGTTCTCTGCTTGAAAAAGCAATTTCCAGCACACAGAAAAGCAGAGTCCACTGAAAATCAGGAAAAAAAGACTCCTGAAAGTCAATAAAAACGAATTTAAATATTTTCATACTTTCATCTATTTATTTGTACAACTGCTTCCACAAAACTTCCTGTGATATTAGCCATACTATGGTCTTCTGACTTGACAGTTTCTCTTCCCTCTGTCACACCCAAGGATGCACTTAGACTGAAACTAAACATTATGAGATTAGTCACATTCACTGCTGAAACAACTTTGAAACAAAGTGGAACATGATTACTCACCATTTGGATAATCACCATTTTCTCTTCTCTTCTGTGATTTCCCCAAACTCTTACTTCTTGACCATGAGAAAAATGTTCCCCTTTTTTTCTTCTCAGTGTCTTCCTCTCCTGACTCTTCATTTAAAGATCTTCCTGACTTTGATTTACCACTTAACTGTCACCGAAACAAAATTAAACCATTGGTTGGATCACAGTTGTAAGTATATTATCTAAAATAAACCTTCCCACGCTTCTTCCCAAAAGAAGAGTGTGATGGTCAGGTTAGCTGTCGTCTTTACCCCACTCACAAGCGTATGTGCCAGCATCCCCCTCAGAAGCAAAAAACAAAACTCAAAAAACCTCTCAGTGGAAATAAAAGGAAATACATAGATGGAAATATGCTACTTGGTAGGGAGTAGAAAACAGTAGCTGGAAACAAGCCATGGAAAGCTCCCACAAATATGAAAGAACTCTCCACAGCTCACCAGTAATGCCTAAGTTAATGCGGAAAGGCCATTTGCCTTGCTTTTAAAACACAGAATTTCATTTCAGTATTTCATATAGTTTTCCTAGGCTAGGCCTGATCATGAACTGCATTTAAAGGCAATGAAAAAGTATTGTTTAACATGTACATGTATAATCAAAGTATTTATTAGTGCTGAAGAACACAAATGTCAGAAATATTTGATATTAAAGTAAACTTGCTTTTAACAAGCTATTCTTGTTAGATTATACAAGTATTCCTTAAAATACTACTTTTAAAAAGGTTCCTAGTCATAAAAATACATAATAGCAGATGGGCTAATGTGTAGTGATTGACATGAAAAATGCAAAGTTATAATTTACCCATGCAGTTATGTAATACTATGGTGGTATTATCTACATGAAGAAAAAATAAACTCTAAATAACTTCAGGAGATCAGTAATACTACTGGTCTAATTTTAAGTAACTGTATCTGGTTTACACAGAATTATCTTACTGCAATAGAGGCTAAGAAATTAAAAAACTATCCTTTCCAAAGATGAGTTAGATTAGACTAAGCCTTTCCCCAATACCTTCTGATAAAATACCTGCTCTCAGCAAAGGTTAAAATATCACATCTTAAGCCCAACGTTCAACCAAAATTATCTTCTGAACTGATGCATTAAAATAACTCTCATTTTTCATTTTATTTAAATAACAGAGATCCAAAATTATATTCAGGAAGTCCATAGCTAGAAATCCGATTCAAAAGTGTGGATTCAGTATTTTCCAAAGTACATCAAGATTTTGCAATTCTATTTGCCAGCACTGTTAAACTAATACTCTCAATGTTTTTTATATATTATCTTTGATCTTCTAAAGAACTTTAAAAACAGTACTTAAGAATGCAGTTTTCAGATAAGAACAATACAAAGGTAACCTTTTTTGGTGTTGTGATACTGGACTTCTCTGAACTGACGCTGTGTTTAGAGGTGGGGCTGCTGGGAACATGCTGCGGATCTGGAAGAGGACGACCTTCGACTTCAGCTAAGATGCATTCTTGGTACAGCGGGGATTTGAGAAAGCGAGTATAGCTATCAAACTTCATCAGGTTAAATATCTGAAATGAAAACGCAGTGGATAATGGTTACATAAGCTTAACTAACATATCAAGAAAATGAAGCTATTTCACAACAGCAAACACCCATGAAATTTAGGACATAACCTGCACACAGCAGTAGGCATGACTTTGTTTAGACCTGGTTAAATACACTGCACCAGTTTAAAGTGAAACATAATTTGATCTAGTCCCTTAGCAGAGGTTCAGAAAAATGTTATGTTTTGTGCAAAGAGCATGAGAAGCTGAGAGCGGTATCATGTAAAGTTCATGTGACCAATCGCAAGGGAAAAAGATCAATATCTTTGGAAGATTCAATAATCAAGGTGCTGTAAAATCAAGACCCTGAAAAAGAACTGTTTACATAAAACGGCTGCTCTGGGCAAGACCAACATTTGTCCTTAACTACATAGGAAGGAAGCAGCTCTGTACTGGGCCTGAAGAAAATGTCTGAGGCTGATTCAGCCAAAGCTAACTTCATGAAAGTAAAGGAAGAGAAGTTCTCTCTTAAACGCTAAACAATGTTTAAATTTCTTGTTCCAGTTTTGCAAACCTTTTGTTTTAAGTGAATCCATAGTTCTACTTTTATATCTTCTCCAGTTATTCACTTGATCTGAAAAAACAGTATGAATGCCATGGAAATGACATTTGGACATGACAAATTCCCTAAAAGCGAAGTAAGGTATGGGCCACACAACTGTTTATGGCATTCCCAAGAGTCTACAGGGAAGTCCATCACTAAGTCACAGTGGCCCAGTTGCAGATGGAAATCATTCTTCAGGTTGTGCAAAGACACCAATCTCAACAAACATTAAAGTCTAAAGTTTTTCTGGCAAACAGCAAGATAATGCAGAGAGAATTTGATCCTGCAGCAAAACAGAAACCTAATTCAAACCGAATGCCAACTTCCACAGTCTTGCCTTCCCCCTCCCCGTATATTCCCAGTTGCACTTAGGTGCTGTCGTGTTTCTGGGGCCTTCTACTGCAGTTTTCTGCATGGTAAGCTATGAAAAAGATATTTCTGTAGGGTTAGTTTTACCAGCTTAACCTGCTGGAACAGCTCAGCACAAAGTCTGATGTGTCCTCAGTGCAATGTCAAAGAGGCAATCCAGTGTCAAAGATGAAAGATGTCACTTGAAAAACTGCTCACAAAGGGGAATCTCTCTCTCATCTCATGCTATGAAAAATAAAATCCTTCTCTGACTACAGGTACGCAAGCAGAACTGAAAAAGGCAGCTAGCTTCAGAGCACAAGTAGTCTTCAGGCCAAGGCTCAACAGATTATTCAGTACACAATGATACATACAGATTTGAAAAATCTCTTATATTCTGTTGATCTCAAAGAATAATACTGTGGCATAGTGCCAAAACAGCATTAAATACAGCGGGGTAATTACAAGACATCAAAATGCCTCAATCTCAAGGACTCATAGATGCACTGCTGATGCAGAGTTATTGGGGAGAAATGGTAAGTACAGTCTGCAAACACCAACACAGATGCAAAAATTAGGCTAACAAAAATATAAAACACTTCACCTTTTTTAGAGTTCTTAAGAAAAATGAAACTTACACTTCTTGACAAATCACTGTATTTTAAGCTAAATGCAATCTGTGACCCCAAAATATGACATGATTCCACAGCACAGCTAGTACTAATACCTTAAATTTAATACAATTTCAGGATGAAAACCAAAGCTTTTCAGAGTTGCTTCCTATCTCAGAATCTAGCACCAGAAGATGATAAAATTACTATTCCATGCTAGGTCAGAAGATTAAAGGAGACACAAAGAGAGTTACTGCAGAGATGGGAAGTCCACAGATTTAAGTATACTTAATACAGTAAAAATATTCCAACTTTTTAACATTCCTGGACAGAGTGATGGCAGGTTAACTAATTTATATTGAGCTGACCATCACCTGCCCTAGTATGTTGCTAGCCCACACTACATCTCCAATTTTCTATATCTAGCTTTATTATCATCATTATTTGGAAAAAAATCTAGCAGATGCTATTTCTTGTTCTTAGAAATTAGAAAAAGAAATATATCTTTAAAAAATCATAATTGGAACTTTACACATAAGCAAGGGTAGAAAAATGTACATATACCTATGCAACTCTACATGAAGTAAATAATTTTTTATTCTTATTTTAGTATCTTCAAGTGACCTACACTGTCTTGCATCCAGAAACACTCAAAATGCTTGTTCTTGTTCTCAGAAAACAGTGAAAGCCTTACTAGGTGTTTTGGCTGCATCCACTGCCATATTTGTCAGGCTATGGACAGAAAGCAACTTCCAGCAGCATTCCCAACAGGCAGAGCTGGAAAGATACCAGCCTCAGCAATGCCTTCCAAGGCACTTTCCCACACACACTTCTGCAAATCCACAACAGCCTTACAGCAACACTCCCTGTTCTCAATCATCATATAACACTTATCTGATGACCGCCACAGACCACACTATGCTCAGTGCTGAAATCTAAAACATCTTGTCAAACACCACAAATGCACAGCTTTTGCATTATAAAGATGGTGTCACCACCATGACTTTTATCCCTTAGAGAAACCAAGATACTAAGGGCCATAAAGACAGCTGATGACCCAGCACTGACCTCAGCCAGGCAACACACCGCTAGTCAACTGGCAGGCACACATAGCTCCAAGTGCATTTACTTTGGCAGAAGTAACTCTCAGCCTGTTTCACCTAATTTTTCAGTGTGAGGAACAGGTCTGACTGAGGGATCTGATGGGAGAACTACAGAGGCATGGACAATTTGAGATAAGCAGGTAGGTCCACACAGCCACATGGTTGGGATTAGACCCGCAGCAGCACTTCACAGCAACGTTTTCACCCAACACGTGAGCCCTCCAACTTAAGGACAAGGCGTTTACAAAGAAGGAAGAAGACCTGCACCAGCCAAGCCACCAGGCTCAGAAGAACACTTTCTGCTCCACCAAAAAATTCAGGCATGGGTTCCACAAAACCAAGATGAAGAATGCATGAAAAAATGTCTATGAAGATTGTGACTGGTAATTCACACAGAAGCCTCAGGCCTTGGTAGGCGAACTGGGGGTAGATGTAGTGCTGGAAGCTACTAAACCAGCAATTAGACCTACCTTTCTATCTCCACTTCACAGATGGAGGGAGGTAGTATACCCACCTGCTCAGATTGTCTCAAAAGCATGTGATCTGATGCTGCACAAAGACTAAGATTGTGACCTGCTTCATATCATATGCAGATAAATCTGCATAACTGAATTATAATTTATAGATTTATATAATCTATAATTACAAAATTATAGATTTATGCAGTTAAACCTATATTCTAGATGTCTAAATAACATGATCTCAAAATTATTTCTACTAATACAATGTTAGGGTGGGAGAGTTACCAAAGCGATTACTTAGGAGAATAAAGAAGAAACTTATATTCTACAGAAAATGCACAATTTATCCTGTTGTTACATAACTGTTCTCTTCTGAACATTAATATACATCCACTTCAGAGGTCTTTAGACACCAGCAGTTTTAGCAAGCTCTTTGTCTGACAGTTCTATTATAGCATATGGGAAGGACTCGCTTAACACAACAGACATGTTTTACAAACCACTTTAACCAAAATTAGACACTATTTGGGTAAACAACTGTCCACTATAGAGAAGAATAAGCAACCATATGCAAACACCATATGCAATGGTGTTGCAACACATGGAATTATTTACTTGCACTAAACCTTCATTTCAATAACAGTATTTTTCATATTATTTTTTAGTTAACGGCAATTTTCTACACATACACAAAACCAAGTCAAGCAGCCTTCCCTTATACAGCCTTTTTCTATTCTGCTAACAGAATCTATATCATCTTGACTACAATGTCTTTTTATACATAGTAAAACATACAGCATGTGAAACTACTTTTATAGATTTTAAAGTACTTCAAGGGAAAAGATAATTGATATAACCGGACAGCAGTCATGTTTTCAATGGTTACCTGAAGTTGCTGTTCCTTGAACATATCAGGATGCGGAGAATTGAGAATATCATCTGCCAGCTGCGCCTGGCTATCAATATTAACCGGGGTTGTAGCTTTGCTACACAAGAACTTACTGAAGATCTCCCGAGCTCTGTAAGAAAGCTACAGAAAAAAATGCTAAATGTATGTTTGTCTTAAAACCATATTTTCAGACAGGCATTTCTTACACTGATATATTCTACCCTAAATATACACAGCCATTCCAGTTTCCTTCATATATAAGCATTTTTTACTTAACATCTTCTGTTAGTTTTAGGCATATAAGTAGGGTTTTCTCTTTAAAATTACAAATATTCAAGAAATATTTCTTAAGCAGTAAAAGTTGCCATCAAAATAAAAATTCAAATTATGAAACTATGAAAATAACAAAAGCGAAGAACATGAAATGCTGTCTTGCCAAGGAGAATAGATTTTTTTTTAGATTTTAGACCTTTTACATAACAGTTACTATTTAAATAAACCCTCTGAGCTTCAAGTTCTAGAAGTTAGAAAAAGGTAAGTATATAGATGAATATTTACTGTAAAAAAACATTCATGTCCTATCTTTAACTTGTTTACTTTGAAACACCCACATTCTGGATATAGTGAGAAAAAAACCCCACCAAACCCAGCTCAGAGCCCTCAAGAGTGGCATCCAGAAAACATACTGTTCAAAGACAGAAGAAAGTAGGGGAAAAGCCTCAATGGACCACAAAAGAACAAAGAGGGACATGGAAAATTAAAGTGTTTCCACAGTGTAATCCTGACTAGACTTGGCTGTGGTGTAGACAGAAGCGTTGACAATCTGCACAAAACACAGGCTTCACCAAAACTGCCTGACCAATGTAGGACTATCTTAAAAGGGTGAGATGGAGATTCTCATAACTTATGAACAAGTGTGATTACACTACGACAGCAGGTATATCTTAGTTATAAACACAGCATTTTGGCTATTGAAGACAACAGTCTAGCTGAAAAAGCACAAGAGGCTAATTTTCACCTATCCTTGAAACGCTAAATTAACTTGCTTTGCAGTCCCTTGCACTGAGCAACTGCAGCTAGCCATTTTTCAACATCCAGCAAACCTTAGCTCATTTTTATAGAGCTAACTCCACACTTCACCACAGTCTAAACATATCCAACATCTTCAATCTGGGACAGTACTCCCAGGGGACTGAGAAAATTAGACTGAGCCTCCAACTCTGTTCCAGTGAAGGCACAGTACAAAGATCAACCACAGCTCTAAAACTTTCAATAATCTTGAAGAAGTCACAATTTTTGAAGAAGCAACACTGACTTACCTCCTTTTTATCATGTGCAGGTACATGGTTAAAATATTCACAGGCCTGCCAAAATAAAATATTTTCTTCACTAAATTCTTTCCGCAGAAATTCCTGGAGGAAAAAAAGAACAAACAGATGTCCAGAGGAAAGTTCCTTGCCATAGCAAACAACATAATGTGTGGTAAGTTTGCATAATAGTGACATTTCAGTCAGTATCACAGTCTAGTTTTCTTCTAAAGTAAAAGTCAATGCCTATTTGATATATGCCTAGTGCCCCTCTTCTTTCTCATGTCCTTTTAATGTATACAATTGAGAAGAATTCATGAAGTTGCAATCAAATCATTTGCATATACAAAGTTTGAAACTTCGTGTTAAGTAGCATATGAATGAACTTCTAACATAAATATAACTAATTTATAAAACATTTTAAAATTACACTATAAAACAGCTATTCTTAATCGCCTTTCTACTAGTAAAATAGAGTAGATGTTTATCAAGCAGTACTCATAATCAATTCTGTATTTATTAGTGTCTTTCTGCATCACATTGCAACTACAAAAAGTCTTCTATCACTGCTTGCTGACGTGGCTACATGGGTTCTCCTTGGAAAATACACACTTAGAGGGGGGGGAAAAATATCTCCTAGGACAATACAATAATCAGGACATTTACATTATAGCATCCGAAAGTCCAAATGAAGACTTCGGATCCCATTCACCTGGGAAATTGTACAACCACAAACTGCCCCCGATTCAGACCTGTATAATATAATATTCTCTCATCATATATTTTCTTGAACGTGTTTTAACCACTGGGGGAAGGAGGGGAAAGAAATAAAAAAATTCACTTGGTCCTCTAAAATATTATCTAGGCACTCACGTAATTGGAACAGAGCTTGTTTATACTTCAGAGCTTTAGGTATCGGTGTTTCATTGGAAATACTAAGTCAGCCCACAAGGCACGATCTTCTTTCAGGTGTCATACTGGTATCACTCAAGCTTCCTTAACATCCAAGGAAGTCTCAGAATGCAGTGTAAGAGGAATCATTGCAGAAATACTTAAAACTTAACTGTTTATGTTTTAAGACTTGCACAGAGTTTAGGGAGTCCAACTGTAAGAAAGCAACTAAGGAACTACAACACAGGGAGTCTAAATCTAGTAGGAAGCTCTCATTTTAAACTAAAAGTTCTTCATGTACCCAACCTGAGACATCAAATCTATTAAAGACAATCCAGAGAGTAGTCAGGGGACATTTCTGCATTTTGCATAAAATTACAGATTAAAAGAGAATTAAATTAGTGAGCAGGAACTGGAACCCAACTGCCTACTTCCTCACTCAGTGCCTTCACTATGAAACTACAATCTCCTGCTTGCTTTCTTTCAGGACACATGATTTGAGCACAGCTGGCTGTACAATTCAGCTTCATCAAGAAAACTGAGTGGTGCCCCTGCTGGAACATTATGTAGTAGCCTAGCAGTTGTCACACATGGCTGGGAAGCTGGGAATGTTGTTCTGAACCACTTGAGGAGGGAACTTGCAATCAGGTCTCTCACTTCCTGGATGACTGCTCTAATCACCAGACTATTATGCAAAATATGAGTATTTGCAAAACATGCAAAATCTCTTCTTCTTAGAGAGTATTTCCTGCTCTGTGACAAAGCTGTCCTCAGGAAAAGCCTATGCTGAGTCCCAAATGCACCAAGATGCTTGCTATGTAATCATGAATTAAATGCTGATGCTTCAGTGTTCTTGAATACTGGCAGAAATCTGTAACTGTGCAGTGTTACAATAGTCAGGTTTCAAGTGAATCTAAGCAATGGGTCTGGATTTCCCCCCAGCCTCAAGAAAATGGTGGTGCACACAATAGATTTCAACATTCCCTAATTGTTCTTTAGACTGGGTATTTAACACATGCATTTTTGCAATGTTTATAAAAATAATTTCTAATTGGAACAAAATAGGGTGAAAAAGTTAAACTTCCTGAATACCTGAGGTTGCCTTCTGCTGAAATGAAATGTAACCTTAACCTTTCAGTATGAAAATTTAATCAAATGACATTAGCTACTTTCTCATTTTTTAATAGAAGTTTTGAACTTTCATAGTACTGAAAAATTACTGCAAGTATTTCTTAAGTACACTTAAGTAAGTTACTGATGGCTTAAAAGTAATTAGAAAAGACAACTAAACTTCCAGTAGCACTGCCACTAACCACATAATTTTTCAGGTGGACTCTAACATCAGGTCAGAATAGAAATTTTTCTTTCAGCCTGAAGAGAAGTGTCAGTATCTAAGCAAAAATGCTAATAATTCTTGGGCTACTCTGCTAAGAAAAATTAAAAGACAGGGAATATAATATCCAGGACATATTATTTGCTTTCATCATCTCTGTTTCCTCAGATGTTCACTGTTGATGTGTTCTTTGGGTCCTCCCACCAGTAACAATGGAAGTCTGCTTTTTAATCATTTTGATATTTTAATATTTTTGTATCAAGTAAAGGAGTCTTTCTGCATTACTGCAGGTTCCAGTTACTGAGTTCTACATCTCCTACACCATGGGTTTCCTTACATTCATTCTGCGAAAACTATCTGGTCAGCACAAGCTGCCCTTGTGCAACGCATTTGGAACCCACAATACACTCTCAGTACAACAATGTAAAAATGTATACACCATAATTTCCTTACATATAAAACAGAGATCATGGTATTTACAACTTCATAAATGTGCTGTGAGGAAGCTTAACTCATGCTTTGCGCTATCCTGCAAGCTGCAGCTTTAACAATGCTTTTAGCTACCATGATTGCTTCCAGAAAATATTTCTAAAAAACATTTTGTAGGAAAACAAGCAATTATATCACTGAAAAAATCTTCTACGTGGCTTCTAGCATTTCAGTAGGTAAATGTGAATATATTACCAATTCTTGGGAAACTACTGAAACTGCTGCCTTTTTTTTTTTTTTACAAAGGCTAAAGATACAAATATAACAAAATGTAATTATTTACAAAACATGGAAGCTTCCTAAAAGCTCAGGTACAAAGCAAAATATAGCTTCCATTTTTATTTGACTTTCACTATCCAGAAATGCATGGCAATATGTGTATTACTACGAACTCATTCAACTGTGAACCAATTTAAACTTCGAAACATGCTCAGCTAACAACTGTGTAAGAATGAACTCCTAGCTCTTGTCCTATGTAAGGATGGTGTCAGGAAAGAAGATAGAAGACAGGAAAATTACTGCAGCAGTATCAGGTATTTTGGAAGGCATCTTACTGTCCCTCAAAACTTACTGAAAAGTATTTAACACCAATAGGATCCTGAAGAAGACGCTCAAATGAAACAGCCCAGCTTGCAACTCTTCTTTCTTGAAGTCGTCGACAGCTCTGAACACTGGGAAGACTAGCATTGCTACTGAGGCTGTTTTCACTGATGCAGTCTTTTAGATCAGTACTATTCAGCTCTGTTAAAAAGAATGAACAAATCTGTCAATAAAGGATTACTCACTTTTAGTCTTCAGCATTGTTTACTGGATTTATCACACCTCCTGCTCAAGCTCACAGTGGTGCAGACTTCAAAATATCCCTCCCCTCTTTTATTAGGAGCATCTGCATAGAAAAAACAACCCCAAACATCTCTCAATTATCTTCTTTTCCACTGCAAAGAAAATCAAATGAGTGTCTTCAAAGCAATCCCCTGCCAGAAGCAAAAGGGGCAGGCACAAAAGGAAATCTTTTTTCTTGCTTCGCAAAATAAAGTATTTCAGACAAAGTTTTGTGCTTACATTCCTCAGCCCATGGACTGCACCAAGAAAGGCAAACCTTCCTTTAAACAGGAACTCCGAAGGTTTTCATGGAAAGACTCCAGTTAAATACCGAAAATTTAGGAAAAGAGTCAACTAAGGAAAAGGACACTAAGGAAAATGAGGTAGTAATAGCTGCCTTCCTTATCCACAGCATGTAGAGGTATCAATTTATTATGGTTTCTGATAAGAACAGGAATCTGTTACTCCCTTCCAGACTCAAGCCAACGTAGTGCAATAATCTAGGGGTCGGAAGCTGAGAAATTACCAGATTCTTTAGATTTTGAAAAAAACAGAAATGCTTTTTTATTCTGAAAACAAATTAACAAGAAGTCAGGAAAACACAACCTTGCGCAGCAGCCTAACCAATAATTTCAAGTATTAACCCCACATCATCTTTATCACATACCAGTAGACAGAATATGCACAAAAATATTCTTAAAGTGACCACCTGTTCATGAAAGTGGAAAAGTGAAAGAAATGGCTGCTCTAAGTAAAAGAAGGAACGGTGGATAATAGGCTCCTATTCACAAACTTGCCATTTATTTGTTGCATGACCTTTTAGAAACCACCACTCTCTCCATCTCTCAGTAAACGCAAATGTAAAATTGGTATAGTTGTACTCACAGATACACACTTCACAGAAGTGATACAAAGTATAATTAATTGTTAAGACACAATTAATTAAGCCCTGAGCTATCTGGTTTGATCTTATAATGGACCCTGCTTTTAGCAGGAGTTTTGCTAGAGAGATGCCACACTGGCTGCGATTCTGTGATGACGGGATAAAAAAAAAAAGCAGACATTAAATTATTTGAAAAATTAGTAGTAATTGATGTGAGCAAATAGTAGGTGGTATCTTTGATTGCTCTATGCCAAATGGAAAAGCAAATGTACAGCTCGCTGTAAATGTAAACTGATTGAGAAAGCAAATTCACAACCAGTAAGAAATGGCCTATTCTTCACAGGGACACTTTAACTGCTATTTATCTTCCTCAGTTAAGTACCTGGACTAACTAAAGCAAGGAGTAATTTCTCCAAAATTACTACTTTATAAGACCTCCTGAGATCTCCTTTTCTCTTATATATATTCAAGGCACTTCACGTTTCCAACTTCTACATTACAAAGCATTACTGCATAGAATGTTTTGTATACCTCCCTAGAAGTATAAATTTTGATAAAAGGACCATTCAAAGATATACGATTAGGAAAAAAGTTATAAAATAGTTGTAAAGATAAGATAATTTTTTTAAAAAAGTTCTGAAACTCGATTTTTAAATTTATCCTGTAGCTTGGAAATATTTACTAAGATGTAAGAGTCAACTACTGAGAATTGCTATGATCAAAGCTATTGTTAGAGACAAAAATAAGACAAAGATACAGAATTAGGTTAGGGAAGAATGAAAATGTGACTTTATATTTTCAATAAGGATAACATTTAAGGACCATAACAACACATAAGGTATATAAATATTTTTCTTTGCCTAATCATCATATAAATTCAAACTAATTAAAAGCACTCAGCAAATAATGCCACATTTTCTTGTAACAAATACTTTTTGCCTTTAAGACATATGAAAGACTATAACCAAATCAATTCAGCTTCATCAGAGAATACCTGTCACCACAGTGAAACTATTGTGAAAGAAGCTAATGTGAATCTGAAGAGAATGATATCTCAATTTCTCATCTGAAATATTTTGCTTTAACTCTGCAGGGGGATACATTTTATTTTACAGTCCAGGATATAAATAGACACTAACTTCTTGATAGATCTGGGATAGTTTCAGATACTGCCTCACTCTTAGAGGGTTCAATCCCCAGTGTTCTCCAATGATGAGAATTCCCTAGTTCCTTTCAGGCAAAATCAGAGTTAAACTCATCCCACAACCCAAACCATTTAAATCTACTTGCCTGACAGAGGGAAATTAGGGAGTAGCCACACAAAGTGGTCAATTGTAAATCCATAAGTGACAGCACCTTAGGACTCAGAAGGGATTGCAAAACAGTTGTATGCCCAGCAGTCATTAGCAGGTCAACTTTACCTTCCTCCTTCCAAGTGGTGGCTGTTCAATTTCCCTTTGGCAGGCAAGCTGCTATTACAGTCTGACTGTTTACACCAGTGGGTGACTGCTAACTACCTTTAACTGCTAGCAGCTGCTTGCTTTCTAGCTTGTCAGAGTTACGCTTGCTCTAAACTACCTTGGGTTCTCATGCCTCTTATATGCTGCCCACTCTGGAGGTCCCATGAAAACAAATGAACCAAAATCAGACTGCATTTTCCACAACTTTGAGAGCTACTGGCACAGGTCCTCTCAATGTGTTACAGCAGCATTAAGGGATTACTCACAGTAAACTGTCTCTGCTCTGGTGGATTTTATTTAGCTAATTCAGATTTTTTTCAGAAAGACCTGTTTGAGTTCATACTTAACCCTAACACTGCTTTGTTTCCCCTTAAAGCAAAAAGGCAATCACAAGGCTGTTTGCTTTTAAAATCTGTAGATTCCTGAAGGGTATACCTGTCAACCTGAAAACAACGCAGAAAATGGTTGTTTCCCAGAAAATGCTTGGTTTTTTCTAATTTCTTTTCCACATAGATAGCTGCTGCAATTAAAACAGTTACAGCCTAGTGCAGGTACATCAGAGAAAAAGAAAGGTCAGACAGGAAGAAAAACTCACCAGCTATAACACTAATACACAATTTATCCAATTTATGCTTACATGAAGACCACATAAGCTGTAAGTCCTGCTTCGCTACTCTTGCGGAGGAATGTTTCCAGTCTAAGACTTCAGTGTCAGGTTTCCTGACTCTCACAACTCCTGCATTCTGAGGTATACACAGCCCACCTTTGGAAAGCAGGAAAAAAAAAAACTCAGTCACGTATTTTTCTAATGAGCACTGTGATAATCATTAGAGGAAACCAGGAGCTCAGATTCCCACACGCAAACGTTGTAACCACAAGGCTGTTGTGCAAAGCCACCTACTGCTTCTTGTGAAGCATTTAAAAAAAGAAAACCAGTTACCAGGAACCACAGGATGCCAGAGTTTACTGTAAAAATCCCAACTCAGGTGCATGCACAACTTAGCAGCGTTGTGAAGTTTCCTGATGCCTGCCTTCCTTTCTCCTTACTGTGTGGAAGTACCAACTCATTTTATAGTACCTGTAAAAGGGGGCTCCTTACTCAAGCATCCCACATCTGAGAGACCTATAATTATTTCTGCTCCGAGAACCGCCATACCTAGCAAGAAAGTACTGCTTCCTGTGCAAACTCGTTCAATTTCATTTATTGCCCTCTTCAAATACAGAATTGATGCAGAATGCTTTCTAAAAATCCTCAAAACCCCATATTTTAGACAGCATTCAGTGCATAAATTATTACATTTATTTTACAAAAATAGCAGTAAGAAAATGTAGGCATATAATCAACTAAAATCTTGAAAATATTCAGGATAAGACGGCTCTGAAGGTTTTGTTTAAGTCATACTAAGAAGTCCAAATACAATTAATTAAGGATACTTTTGTATGCATCTGTTTATAAAATCCATATATATTTTTCAACCCTCTATGGCCTTTTATCACTGTGAGAAGCTACACGTATCACTTGTAATCATCAGAATGCATACATTCATATAATTACGATAATCCAGTAAATCACTCAATACGTTACCTGGATAAAGCTGATAAGAACCACTGTGGTGCCACTTAATCAAATACTTCAAGGCATTCACTGAAAGCCATCCTTCTGAATCCATACCAAGTTCAGCTGTAACGTCCCAGAACCCATTGGGTGCAGATTAGCCTTATTGTACGGCACATTGCTCCTCTGTAAGTTTGGGATAAGGGAAGCTAGCACATTCCCCCCCAGCAATTCCTGGTAGTCTATGACACCATTCTAAACAAACTGATTCTTTACCCTCATGGCTTCAAGCAGAAGAAAGCAATAGTATACTTAACACAAAGCATTATAAAATGCTACCTAAATAATTTAAAGAAAAGACCTTCGGCCACTGCTGCTAAAGGAACTTGAATTATTTATGTTACAGTGGAACACAGCTACACAGGCATGTGCTGCCAACATAACTGACAAATAAGTCATGTACCTGTTGGAGGAGATAATCCATCTTTATTTATAGTGTAAAAAAGCATGAATAGTGTTTTGTTTTATTTTGTGCTTTGTTGCAGGTATTTTGCTCTGCCTTCTTGAGTTACTTTTTAGAATACAGCTTTACATTATTTATCATTGTAAACATCAGATTCCTTTCAAAAAATCTTTAAGAATGCTTTTCCTTATGAAAATTCTTTCCAGGTGATGAACATTAAAAACAAAAAGCAGCAGAAACTACAGCAAAGTAGTATCTTAGGAAAAAAACATGCACATAGTGTCTGTAACACAAGCATTTGGAAATAATAGATCAGCTTTGTGGAACCGATCTCTGCAGGGAACAGCAGGTAAGAACTGACTTAGAAATTCTCAGTAGCTCAAATACCTCACCACATGTCTATCTGGGAGATGAATGATCATGTAGTTCTATTTTATGTCCTTTGACCTTAAGGTTTTCCCTTAAGGTCAATGTAAAGGTGCCCTCTAGACAAGGTAAAGTGTCATCTAGGCATCAATAGCCAAAGTCAGACATTAGCTGGGGACTACTGACCATCCCCTGTGATGATTTAGATTGCACAGTGCTCAAAACATCAGCCACAGGCTGCGTGCTGCATACACACTCTCACTATTCCTACAGGCAGTAGGAATGGACAGCTTCCAAGATGGGAAGTAGGAGAAATCAACTAATTACAGGTTGTTGTAGTAACATAAAGTGGTTTCTGTGATTCTACAGCACAGGTGCTGATCCATAGCAGTGATCTTGCATCTAAACATTATCACAGCTTGCATTCTGCCTACAATTCATTAAGCAAATCAATTACAGTTAAGAGTTGCTACTGGTTGGCATCTCTGAAAACAACACTAATTCAACTACCTGTATCTTTTACACATTACCTATCTTGCAAAGTCCAGGCGTACAATTTTGGCATCCCAGCCTTGTGCCAGCTGAGTTACCATGTAAAGTAAATGCATCAAGAGGTAGATGGTTCCCAGTGCCTGGCTCTAATGAAATACAAGCCATATGACATGAGGCTTCATTGACCTCGGAAAGAAAATGTACAGGGAGCTGTCATGCCTCCTATTTTACTGAAGGGATGTATATAAACACACAATAATTACTTTTTACACATAAATTTCCCTTCCCAGATTAAAGTTTAACAACGGTATTTATAGTATCTAGTTATATGTCAGCCTTCCAGTATCTGAATGGGGCCTACGAGGATGCTGGAGAGGGACTATTCATCAGGGACTGTAGTGATAGGACAAGGGGCAATGGGTTTAAACTTAAAGAGGGGAGATTTAGGTTAGGTATAAGGAAGAAATTCTTTAGCACAACAGTGATGAGGCACTGGAACAGGCTGCTCAAGGAAGTTGTGGCTGCCCAGTTCCTGGCAGTGTTCAAGGCCAGGCGGGATGGGACCTAGAACAACCAGATCGAGTGGAAGGCATCCCTGCCAATGGCAGGAGTTTGGAACAAGTTGACCTTAAGGTCCTTTCTAACCCAAACCATTCTATGATTTTATACATACAAATACTAACATTAAAATTTAGACTAGGAAGGGAATTATGGACTATTATATTAATAGTTGCACTAGTGAAAATTTCTCTAATCTAGACATGCCCTAAAATGTGTAAATCTGTGGATCTATTAATGAATTAGTGATATTAGTGAAGATTGAAAAAATTTCAGTGCTGTGACATATTCGATAAAAGTGAAAGCCTGAAAATGTAATTCAGAAATCAATCAGAGCTATTCTCTCAATGCAGCTCTAAATGAAACTAATAAGGATTTTATTTCATTTCACTTTTCCAGGTTGCAGTCTCTCTGGTTCTTATTTTTCCAATCCACTTTCTAGGTTCTTAAGCATTGATTTAATATTACTCAGTGTAGTTCAACTACCACTTTTTACATAAATTACATCCCCCCCTCTGATACAGCATTTAACAATGAAGAGAGAGTCCATGTTAAACCTTCAGCACTAGCTGAAAAAATAGGTCATACAACTCAGCAGAAAAATGCATATAACTTATTGCCAGATCTTCACCTCTGCAACCTACATGGCCTTCAGATTCCATTACTTCACAAAACTGTATAAAATTTATTGTGAAAACACACAAATGAAATTGGAATGAAATACAAAAAACATATTGGAATAACTGAAAATAAGTCAGTAAAAACTACAAGTTCTGAAGTTTAAATTTTGCAAGGAATCAGAAATTAGGGTACAGTGGAGTTTTGTGGATAGTATTGCTAAATTTGCATTTACATAGAAAAAAAAATCTTTACCTTTCAAAATATTTCATTGATTTCATTGCAGTGGGACAACACAGATTGTTGCCCTTTTATATCATAAAACTGTCTGGTACTGTTGTCAAAGAATAGCAAACATAAAAACATGTATGTGAGTTTCTCTGCAGGATCTAGTGAACCAACCCCTGCCAAGCAAGACAAGTGAGAAAAGCCATCTCCTGTAAACCCAAACTATACAGATTCCTTTATTCCATTAAGGAAGCGTATTTAAGCTGTTTCAATTAACTTCAAAGATTCAGAGAAATCATCTTCTAATGTTTAACAAAGAGTGGATGTCCTTTAAAACATTAAAGCTATATGAAAATCAAAACAAACAAGGTTAGCTGACATAAAGAGGAGTTTACTTAGAAGTATTCCAGAACTGCAGAACCTCCATGCTGGGATTTTCCAAGTATTAGATTACTTACCCCCTTCTCAAAATGCATCACTCCCCAAAGATATTTCAACCTCAACCTGCACCAACACAGCTTATAGTTTAGGAGCTAGAGCATATCTCTTCAAAAGCAAACAGCACACGTAAAGAACAATAAAACAGAGACCAAGATTTTATCTACCATCCAATTATACAAAAGTCTACCAGCTTTGCCTCTTTATTAGTTTGAATGAAGCCTAGTTACAATAAAAACATGCATATAAAGATGTGCCACCAAAAAATTATGCAAATGAATCAGCGAAAGGATGCGAACATAATCCTGCAGTATTTTCATTAGCACAATTCCCAAAGAAGGCTCAGAGTTCTGTGCCACTTTGGACTCCCATCTTGTAATATGTCACCTTATTTACCATATATTGTATTGCTTAATGTGGAAAATTGATTCTTTTTCATTATAAAAGTAAAAACAAGCTTTAGCTTACCTCCATCAGAAACAGTTGCTGACTGCAATAAGAAAGAGAAAAATAAGTGTTACTTAAGTTTCATGTTATTAGAAACCTCTGAGCTTCACATAGTATTTGAAATGCTAGCTACTTTTATCATCTTGTTAACAACAGATAACATGAGGGGAAAATCTAAAGAAACCAGCTCTTACTTTCTTATAGGTGTTTCCTCCCCACCATGAAATTCACCCCAGGCCTTTAAAACACTGTCCTGGAACTTGATCTCACTAGTATTTATTGCACAAAGTACTTCCTGCTGTGAATAGCCACACTGCTTCCAACAGTCCTTCTTAGATGAATAGAGTCAATCGTTTGGTGTATGTGAGAAAGCAGGTATCTTAAAACTGACCTGCAAAGACTTAAAATGAAAACAACACCTCATATACTTTGTTTTGCTGCAACAGCTAGAGATATGGGGAATCAAAATTAAAATTCAACATTTTGTCTGTCAGATGACTCTGAAAACTTGCCCTCCCAATCACTTCTGACTTCCACAGAGCTAAAAGGATGTTAAGAGTGTTTCCAATAAGCTAGGCAAGAACTCCTCACCACCTGTACTAGTATAGCAAATTTTCAAAGACAAATAGTCTTCTAGCAAAATGCCAAAGTTTATGTACTTATCTACCCTAAACTTCTCATCTTTGATCACAAATTATCTCAAGGCAGCTACCATTTCTGCAACACCAAGTAGATGACCACTTCCCACACATGTACTCCAGTGCTTATACCTTGACACTCAACTGAGTGAAAGACTGGAAGGACAACTGACATTTTTATTGATTTCTAATGGCTATTAACAATGATTATTTTCTATTTCACTGCAGGATCTCACACTGTTGTTAACACTATCTGAAGAACAGCACTTACTATAAACTGTTGTGTCCTCACCATTCACATCAGCAGCAGATCTACTTTTCGATGCAAGTCTGAATTAGTCTCTATTGACATTATTACTCTAATGCTAGTTCAGATAAACACAAATACATCTTTCATGGAAACGATTAAAAAAAAGATGGCTCTTCTTCCTTAACTACACAAAAATCAATGCTTCTGAATCTGTGAAGCATAATAATATAATCAAAAGTGTATCCAGGCCTCTCACTTTTTTTATAGTGCTGTTTCAGGTATCAAAAAAGTGTTTCTGTTTTGGGTACAGTTCCTCAGTGAGGCTTAGGACATCTTTCCTACTTCTACTTTGCACACAAGTCTAGCAAGCGTATTATGCATTCAGAAACTGTAACATAATTCATGTTTGTAATTTAGAAAATTTAATTTATGTTACTGAAATCTGTATTATAAATATGATTGCTTCTAATTTCTTATTCACCTACTGTACAGAACAGTTGATGAATAAACAATCTCAATGTCATTACTCAAACAATGAAAAGAAGGATGACTCAAAGTCAAGTAATAGTATCAGTTTGCACATTAGACAGAAAAAAATAAGAATACTTTCAAACTATACACATTTTAGGAATGGTCATTTACTTTTGCAGTTTTCATGAATCTATATTCAAACATCAAATATAATTCTTCTTGTTGAAAGTTATGAATTAAAAAGAATAGGATTCTCACGATAGTAAAAAATTACACTACTTTTATTCCAAAAACTGGGAAGTTAACAATTGTGAAATATCATTTTTTAAAGGAAAAATGGTGTGATTTCATAGAAAAGCTCAAGCATTACACTAATAGTACCACTTAATTGAGTTCTATGGACAATGAGATACAGTTTTACCTCAATCCATTTAGCATAACTTCATGCAGTGAGCTTTCTACACACCACGGGTTGGGTCTGTGTGTTTGTTTTAAATGCTCTAGCTAATATGCATTACCTTACATATATCAACATCTTAAAATCTCTCCTTGCAAGGCCTAATTATTACTTTTAAACCTTTTTTTAAAAGTAGTACCCATATGAAGAACAGAACTTCCTATCAAAATATCAACCACCTACTTCTGTGTTATTTAGATATTTCAAATACTACAGTTTACTTCTGTAGATCACAGAATAGAAGAACATTTCTTTAAATTCATCTACGCAACTGAATTAAATCCACTTAATTCAACAAAATCAGCTAGAAACTAAAGCTTGTAAATACTGTGTAAGAATTCACAGTATTATGTTCAAAACATGTTTATGAGTACTTAGAAATCTTAGAAATACAAACCTGTCAGAAACTGCATGCAATCCATAACCAGACAAAGCAGTTTCTGTTCTAAACTGTTCAGCTGAAACTTGTCTAGATTTGTCCAAAGGAATAAGTTGCAAGACCAGATTTTTTTAAATACTATGATGATCTCATTTTAAAAATTCACTGTGTGTTGGGGGCTGTTTTTTGTTCTTCAGTACTCACGCTTACCACCACTGGAGGCTCTTCAGGACAAAATTTGATCTACTATGCCTATAATGTCCGATCATTTGATGAAATTTAACACCACATACATACTAACAACTACCTATTAAAACCCATATGTACTAAAAAACTATAAAATTAAACAGTTCCTGTATGTAGCCATTTCTAAAAGATAAGGAAGGACAGGGTATGACCCCATGCCTGCTAGGGCTAATATGAATATTAAAGAAAAAGTATTTAAGTATTTCATTCCAAATGACAGGACATGTATGTATTCATTTTATGAATGTATATATGAACTATATCTAGAGATAAAATCTAATTGCATTCAATGATCAAATCTTTCACAACCAGGTAAGTACTGAAATCAATTCTTCAAATTACCCTGACCTCCAAATCGGGTTAGGAAAAAGCCATGGTGTATGTCAGAAGCCTGATGGAAACAAATTACCAAAATGTAAAAAATAAACCTAGTTTAGGAAAACTAAAATGTCTTCAAGTGTTATCTCTCCACGGGAACTTTGCTTGCTCATCCAGCTGGATTAGCAGCTGAAGCATACAGGCACACACACAACCCCGGCAAGGCTGGAGGATGCAACTCTCCTCCAGACTTCAAGGCAAGATCGTGATCCCTGTGATCCAAGTGAGGAGCTCAGTGTCAGGGCCAGCAAGCTGAACAGTGGCTTTCCAGTTATCACACACCACAAAAGATGCTTCAGGTCTCTGTAAACTGGTAAATGCACCAGCATATATTAGATAACATAAAGTTCTGATTAAGAGAAAACATGATAATTTCTCTTTGTACATCTCTTTGCTACACAGAAAAACCAGAAGGGCCCATGAGTTTTTTGATGTTATATTCAGAATCTGCTTGCAACAAATCTAAAGAGTACAAGCTTACAGTAATTATCAAGAAGAAAACTACTTTGCGAGTACATTATTTTTTCTTCCAGAATAAAAACAGACAACACAGTATCTTGCACCAACAACAGGGTACAAAGGGAGAGAAGGCATAAAGGAGAATAATTGATAAGGTTGAAACATCCTGAATCTTTTATCTTTCATGGTCTACAACCTGCTAGATGTGTGCACCACTGCACGAAACTAGTCTGACATCTTTCAGTTGACAAAAACTCTTATCCAAAAAATTCATTTAGTTCCATTGTACACAGATCAGGTCCCAAGAAAGTAACTAAGTACTGTCAAAGTCTATCATAAAAACATCATGCAGAAAACAAAAAAAATACCCTACCTATGTCCCAGATATTACACAGAGCAAATAAATCCATGTGTACAGAATACCCAGATAACACAGATCCAAAAATGTCCTTTTTCTCTACCTCAAGATTTGTCATTCAAGTCAAAGTCATGCTCAAGTACTTGAGTAGAACAAAGGGAAATATGCGGACACCAGGAGGGGTGACACATACTAGGAAATGCCAGGCCTTAGCAATAAATGAAGCAACATGAAATCATCTGTGCTAATCGAATGTGGGCGAGTGCCTTCCTGAGGCAAAAAAGACTTTTATCTATTTCCAACTCCTTCTGAGATGTGGAGGGATAAAATCTATTAGGAGACTGAAGACATATTCCTCTCTCCTACCCCAAGAATGACAAAATCACAAACTGAACAGAAACACCTGTTTGTTTCCTGGGCATCCAAAAAGATTCAGAGAAAAAGGGATTCGATATGACCTTTCTCTGTGCCCTTTTAAAAGTACACTTTCTTCCAATACAGGCATCAACCTTTTGCTGCATGCAAAGAATTATCTGACTGCTGCCTTCAGAATATGTTAGTTTTGCCTAGCACAATATTATACTACACACACTGTTTTACAAAGCCCCTGTAATTAAGCCTTTCCCCTTGGAATAGCATACCTAGCTCCACCAGCCTCCTAAACTGATTTTCCCATATGATTTCAATATACAAAATAAGTTTGAGGAACTTGTGTTCTTTAAGGGATGAAGCACTGAACATTTACAGAGTGAACACAAATAGCCAACTTTCAAACATTCTGCCACTTAGCTCAGGGAAAGCCTATCACTCAGTCAACTGTCTGCTTGCATCCAGTTTTGTTCAAACTCCTTATTAAATCACCTGAAGCAACTTCTTCTTTTGCCAAGGTATGAATTATGATCAGGTCCCTAGATCTTCAGTTACATTACTCCAGGACTTACATTACATGCACATATTTTTATCCTTTTAAATACATTACAGCATGAACTTTGTACAAATACCATGAACTCAAATGATCTCTGGGAGGGAGATCATGTCTCAAAATATGATATACACTGTTCTAACATTTTAAATAAAAAAATAAAGCCATAATACTTCTGAACTATTGCTAGATTTTCCTCCTAGAAAATATTCTCAAATGTACTTCTCACCTGAATCTTAGAGTAATATTATAGTATTTTATCCTCATTTCAAAATATTATTGCAATTAATTTCATGACTTAGATTTCTGTGAGAAGGATGCCCTTTCAGAATGCCACTTCTAGGAGGGCTATTACATAATTTGTCTTTTCAATTCTCTACCACCAAATAAGTGCATTTATAACAGCTAATACTGAAGTATTATAGATGTAAGAATTCAAAGGATAAAAGAAATACAGTACAACTACTGTACAAGTATTTTGCTGCATACATTCTTCTCTGAAGGTTACAGGTTTTGTCAAATATTTAAGTCTATAAAAACAATATATGAACTGTAAACAATGAGACATTTGGAATTCCTTTAAGAAATAAATGTTCAACTTTCCACCCAAAACAAAACCAATCTTATCACATATAAACAGTGCCTTAAATGCCAAATCCATCCCTAAAATTATTTTGAGAAAGACATATGCAACATATATACAGTTTTACCTAAAGATATAATATTGATGTAATGGTACAGAAAGTATATACATAATACATTGCACAGAATTAAAAGACAGGTAGAGATTATAAACATACTGATTTTTTTAGCTTTACACATATTGGGCACAGTTTACAAATACATCTCAAAATCTGACTGTTAGTTGGTACAATAAGCTTCCCTTTTCTCCGATAATGAAACACAATGTTTGCATTTACAAAGGAATTTTAACTAAATCACTTTAAAGTAAAAAAGCTTAAAGGCTAAGCAAAAAGCATCCTGAAGCTGATAACATTTTTCTCTAGTTTCTTGCCAATAACAATAGCCTCTTCTAATTTCTCACTGCAACGATGCCTTGCTTTAGCTAAATATAATTCATATCACTTACCCGCTCTTCGTAAGAAACGGCAGTTATTTTTCCTAACAGTACTTTTCCTAAATTCATCTTCACTTAATAGGGAAAAAACATTTCCTCAACACACCAGCTTCTCAAAGATTAAACTAAAAAATTCAATCCTGTTCCATGCCTGTACATGCCAGTAAAGTTTAAAGGCATTTCGTATGAAGTTCTATTTTACTCCCTTTATGTTACCCATAGCAACAGGCCAATGCAGGAAGCTGTGGTTCGTCAGGGATTCAGATTAGATCTCAATTATCTCTCACCAGAAAATCTAGATCATTTTGTATAAATCATTCCAATCGTATTTTAAAACGTTTCCTATGACAAATCAGGAAAATGAAATGACGATGACTTGTGTGATAGTCCTGTATCCGATAAAAACAGATTTCCAAGACAGTTTTCAGGAAAACATTAGTTAATCACCCTAACATTAGTTACAGAAATATTTACATAGTAAACCACTATTTTCAGAGGTTTACATAATGCAAGCCAGAATAAAGTAGGACCTCAAACGGTCTATTCTGCTTAACGTTTCAGTGGTTATCACTAGAAATTGCTTGTAAAAATCCGCAGTACAAGGAAACCTGGCATATTTGGTTAAAGCCAGGAGCAGCCCGTTGTCACTAAGGACAAAATTCTCCTTCCAGAAACCAAGTGATATTCTCCCTTCCTTCCTTGATTCCTGAGCCTGTGCTCAACTGATGTCAAGGCAGTTCTGTGCACAGCCCCTCAGGAACAGAGAGCAAAATAGGCTACTTGTAATGCAAGAGGGAAGTGCTATTAACTTGCCTGTGACAGCAGTGTCTTCAAAAGACTGTATATGGAAAGTGTAAGATTTCATGAAGTTTACTGCTATTCACAAGTAAGTAGCAATAGCATCTAAACCATTCATTGCTGTTATTATTTTTAAGCAATCAGAATACAATTTTCTGGAAAAAATAAACACTAGAATTGCAAACTTGGGAATGATTAGTGGGCATTCTTATGCTAGAGGGATGTCTTTGAAGCCAAGGTGGACTTACTAGTAGTAGTTTAGGAAAGAGGAATCTTCTCTCTTTCTCAATGCAGCATGTAGAATCCCCCACTTCCATACAGTTCCTAGGTTGAGTCCCTAATATAAAAACAACCCTACGAAGAAGGCATATAATACTCTGAACTTACATAGATAGAATGAGGCAAAAAAGTTAAGAACCTTTACTCAAGATCTCACAGTAAGACTGGTTTGCAAAAGACAGTCCAAGTTTGCACATCTTCCTATTTTTGGGCTTAGGATGAAGAGAATTTGATAACAGGAAAATTCAATCTTCTCAATTTAATTTGGAATGATCAGAGAAGAAATTTTAAGCTAATTGCATAAGCATACTTTAACAAGAATTCCAGAGACATAAGCAAATTGCTGCAATGGACAAAGTTCATTTTATGATTGATGACTTGTTTGAATAGGCACACCACTGCACTTTTGAATGCTATCTTCTACAAGTATTTAATACCATGAAGAAATGCAATGGAAACAAATGGGTGGGTAGACAGGAAGGAGTGTGTTTTACAAGTTATACCCTCCATTATTTTACAGGTTATGAAGCTAATGCCCTGTGATACTTGCACAGAAGAACAATTTTACTACGTGCAGAGAAGTATTCAAGATTTATAATTTTATAAAGAAAAAAAGCCAGAGTTGTTTACATACTGCATTTTGCTTAACACTAAACAAGTGGAATGCAGAATGTATTTTTAACTGTCAATACCATAACCAAACAGTAACACCACTACAAATATGCAAGTAACCAGGTGAATAATAATCCTTACACGGGGTAAGTGAAAAGCATAAATGGTTCAGAAATGCCTATAGAACTTTTTCCTGTGACAACCTCTTAGGGGTAACACAAAAAGGACTCTTATCCATAGTTTTTACTGTTTGAGTGCTAACCTAAATCCTCTAGGAATCACCTAGAAATGTACTAGCAGAGTTTTAACGGGTGAAGGTGTTATCCATAAGAACTCAAGAACTATTAGGAGGAAAAAAAAATGCAATGGGATGTAGCTGCAAGAGTAGCAGTTCACCAGAGCAACTGCAGTGAACATTGTTAGGAACACTGTGGGTGGGCAATGTTTTATACATTCTAGGCACACGTACTTGGCATTATAAACCTAATAATCCTTTCGTTTAAACAGACCTTTAGAGTTGTTGATTTTATTTCATTGAACTAAGCATTGCACATCCACATTTTTTCCATACAGTGACTCTACCAGCACCGCAAACAAGCTCTACCAATTAGACGGTACCAGTTAATGGTAATGGCTACAAAATGTCATATGACCCTGAAAGGCCTTTTAAAAACTCACATCCCTCTACATTTTCATTTTCACAGGTTATTTCGGCAGCTGCCAGGTTCAAAATCTTGTGATTGTGTGTACCATATTTGTAAACCAGGCAGGCAACTCAAAGTTCAAAGGTCAAAAGCAGAAGGAATGTTAATTTGCAAAGCTATTAATGGAAAGTGTTAAAATCTAACACAACAGCTTTAAAAGCCTTGTTCAGATATACCAAAGATGACATTTGTAAACCCACATCCATCTGCTTATAGAAGCTAAACTGTGGAAAGGGGTAGAGACCCCAGATATGGCTGACCTGTTTTTCTCTTCTACCCTCCCTCTCCACTTCCTGCTCATATTTTCTTTTCTACATTTGTTTTCAGAGCAGAAAAAACTGAAGAGAAAGACAGAATGACAGGAAGCCTGGCTAAGTTTTAACTTGTCAAAAGATGAACAGAATTTCATATATCCCTGATTCCTAAAGAAGAAAACACACACCAAACCCACCAAGCAACCAGAAAGAGGCAATCCCTTTGACCAGCTTCTAGTGACACAGATTCCTACAGTAAATTTGACAGTGGCAGAATGCACCATCAAAAACCTTGAACCTCATCAAGTATTTCTTTTCTTATATTAAAGAAAGTAACAATTACTTGCATGAAAGCCAGAGAAAAAGATATCTGTTAAGAATATTATTTAGCTCACTGACCCTAGGTATTGGAATAAAAAGCGTGAGTATCAAAAATCCACCACACAAAACTAAAAAAGCTTTGCTATAAAATGGGGAAGGGGGGCGGGGGGTGGTGTTCTAATTCTCCGATTTTTCTATAATCTGTCCAGATACATTTTTGTCAGTGATTTGACAAAAACAAACAACAAACAGATCCCATATATGCTATTGATTAAAAGAGGGAAGAATCTGTTATTTACAACACTGCAGTTTCTTTCTATGGATTTTAAAGATAAAAGCCCTTCCTCTTCCAGGGAGATTATAACGAAAAATATTTTCAAGACAACCCATTTGGAATCTCTTCGTGTATAAATAACCGGAATATAAGCTTCCTTGTCAAAACACTAAGAATTCCCATACAATAAATTCAGTGAAGGCAATGGATGCAAACTGCTGTTCCGGGTGCCCCCTGCTGTCTGCCTGCACCTCTGAGAGTGACGGACACATTTTAAAGTGGCATTCAGGAAGATTTGCCATCCAGATATCTGCTGTAAACCCAAGTATTTGGTTATTAAAGCAGCATTGTAAACTTTGAAAAATGCTTCTGTATATCCTGATTGTAAACTGATAATAAAAAATACACTTTTTCCAAAATGTTTCTGAAATAATTACTATAATTACTGTTTTTTTCCTTCTGTTGATAAACTTTTCAAGGCAAATGAATTCTGTCTACTAATAAAAACATGCAGAAACAGCATAACTTGCACATCCAGATAGAAGGTGACTGGCAGCCCCATAGTAAATTAAAATCAAATTACATATTAAGGAGGATATGGTTAAGTCACAGATAACTGGAACACATTAAGCCACTTGTGAATTTCTTACTGCTACAGACAGAATCTCTAAGAACCAATAGATCTGGAGGAAATCAATATAAAACTAAGCATAAAACCTACCAATGTTTAAGTAAACAATGCATATATATCTTCCTTAGCCTTCCAATTGTTTCTTTCCCTTTTAATTTTAAAAACTGATAGTTTTGCTGCTATACTTGTAGCATTAAAGACGTTTATACTCTGAGATATATACACATAAAGACTAGAACTATAATGCAAACAACTGATAATACAGCCAGTACCTTTACTTACAAAATACGCGTTTTCTGAGCAACAAAAAGCTAACACTCATCTGAAGTTTTGTATCAAAAATTTTGTATTTTATACTTTTCATCTACTTTCAGTTATTTTAATAACTCCTACTATCTGGATTCTGTTTTATTGGATAAAAATCCAGCTGGAAGAAAACAAAAAATCACTTCAGCTGCCCAACGTAAGAAACACTGTAACAATTAAAAGGTTAACATAGCTATAACGTAACATTCTTGCTTTACGGAAACACATGTGCAAGTATAGTGAAAATGAGGTGAAAGATTTACAAATAGCTTAATTAGAGAAGTATCTGTATATCTACTATACTCACTCCACATCTAAAAACAATACAGTGCTAAAGAAAGACTTAAAACATGTCTATAAAAATGGAGTATTAATTTCATAATACAGCTTATATACAAAATCAACTTAAATACTTATACTTACAAACTTTGTCTCTTTAAAACCTCATTGCATCCTTAGAAGCATTATTTATCATATTTCACTGCAAGATTTCTTAGCTCAGAAGACTACTCATTAAACCATATTCCTGTTTTCTGTTCGCTTTAGACAAACAAAACTTTATACTTACAGACACTTGACTATCAGTAAAAGTTTTCTCCATGTATAAATAGTTTAACAGCTCATTGTTAAGAAACAGTCCCTTCAACTTTATTATTACGTTCTTTCTGAACACATATTTACTTCTTCCAGAGTCCAGTAAAAAATGAGGCTTCTCTGTCTGTTGCCCTATCAACACCTCTCTCATTCTCCTCCCTCTCCAGCACATTCTCCGCCCTCAATACTGGTTCTGTATCTTCTCATCAAAAGGAACAAGCAGCTTTTAAAATGGTGTTTAGGCAGGTCCTGTGTAACAATAAAGCTTCTGTGAAGACAACAGTATGCTGCTGAGGAATCTGCTAATGCAAAATGCATTCGCTAAGGGCCTACAGGACTCTGTCTTAAATGTTTGTCCAAACTTGTTTTAAGCATTGAGTCAACATCATTTACTCTTCCGAAGTATTCTCTTTCTTAATACATTCCCCTTTGATGAGTATATTATCTGAACGAATGAGGTCATCAATCTGTATTAAAAATACTTACAATATAAACTAAAAATACCTTTTAAAAAAATTGTTAAAACTTGTAAGACTCACAGCAAATTTCTTTCAGTTTCTGGCATGTAGGTACGTGTCTCGGTATGATTACAATCACATGCATGCATATTGTGCAATCTATCTCATCCTACCAAAACGCTCCGCGTTCCTTTGAGTAAGCAGGGCAATGGCATTTACAAGGATTGCGTTCTAAGTGAAACATGATTCTCCTAATTTTCAATGCCACACCTACCCTCCAGACAGAGCAGCAAAAGCTGTGTATTTTCAGAAAGAAACATGCACACTTTCTGCCCAACAAACAATGCTTAAATACCATCCTTTTGCAATTCCTTGGTCCAGACGGAAGTAGAGGAAGGGATTTTTACTGTACTACTTTTACTGTATTACTTTAAGCATCAGAAGAACAGATCAAATGTTCTGATGATTTCATACTGTAGAAGCTCTGTATGTGACTTTGTTTTTTAAACTTCACTGGACC